GACACATAAACCAATGGAATAGAATAGAGAACCCAGAAACAAACCCACACATTTATAGCAATCATATTTTTGACAAAGGTGCCAAGAACATACATTGAGGAAAGGACAGTCTCTTCAATAAATGATGCTGGAAAACTGTATACCCATATGCAGAAGAAATGAAACTAGATCCTTATCTTGCCATACACAAAAATCAAATCAAAATGGATTAAAGACATAAATCTAAGACCTGAAACTATGAAACTACTAAAAAGAAGACACTGGGGAAGCGCTCCAGGACATTGGTCTGGGCAATGATTTCTTGAGTAATACCCTAAAAGCACAGGCAACCAAAGCAAAGTTGGACAAATGAGATCACATCAAGCTAAAAAGCTTTTGCACAGCAAAAGAAACAATCGACAAAGTGAAGAGACAACTCACAGAATGGGAGAAAATATCTGCAAACCACCCATATGACAAGGGATTAACAACTAGAATATATAATGAACTCCAGCAACTCCATAAGAAAAATTCAAATAATCCAAAGAAAGAATGGGAAAAAGATCTAAATAGACATTTCTTATAAGAAGACATACAAAAAATGAAAAATGCTCAACATCATTAGTCATCAGAGAAATACAAATCAAAACTACAATGAGGTATCATCTCACCCTAGTTAAAATGGCTTTTATCAAAAAGATAGACAATAATGAATGCTGGTGAGGACGTGGAAAAAGGAAAACCCTCTTACACTCTTGGTGGGAATGTAAATTAGTGTAACCACCAAGGAGAACAGTATGGAAGTTCTTTTAAAAACTAAAAACTGAGCTACCATACAACCCAGGAATCCCACCGTTAGGTATATATCCAGAAGAAAGGAAATTAGTATATTGAAAAGATAGCTGCACTCCCATATTTACTGCAGCACTATTCACAATAGCCAAGATTTGGAAAAAACCTAGGTATCCATCAACGGATGAATGGATAAAGAAAATGTGTTACATATGCACAATGGAAGATTATACAGCCACAAAAAAGAATGAAATCCTGCCATTTGAAACAACATGGATTGAACTAGAGAACACTATGTTAAGTGAAATAAGCCAACCACAGAAAGACAAATCTCACATGTTCTCACTCATATGTGGAAGGTAAATATTAAAACAATTGATCTCATGGAGATCATGAAATGATGGTTACCAGAAGTTGGGAAGGGTAGATTGAGGGATACAGTGGGGATTCTTAATAGGTATAAAAACATAGATAGATAGAATGAACAATATTTGATAACACAACAAAGTGACTATAATCAACAATAAGTTAGGATCTACTTTAAAATAACTAAAAGGGTGGAACTGGCATGTTCCTAACATAAAGAAATGATAAATATTTGAGGTAATGGATACCCCAATTAACCTGATTTGATTAACACACATTGTATGCCTGTATCAAAACATCACATGTACCCTATAAATATATACAATTATTATGTATGCATAATAATTAAAAATAAAAATTTAAAGTTAAAAAAGAAAAAAAAACCTAACTACCACAATAGGTTCCTCTTGGCCCAGATGGGCAGCACCTGCAGTCTAGGCTCACTAAATCGGGTATCCCACACGCAGACCTCTCCTCAAAGCCTCTTACAAAAGGATATTTGGGAAATAACTGCATCCTTTCAGGTGACTTTGGCAAATAGGCTGGCATCAGAATGGGGCCCTTTCAGGATTCCACAGTAAGGAGATATTTGCAGATTAGGATCCTAATTCCAGGCTCACCCTGACTTACTTTGCAACTTCAGACACACTGAGAACAGCTTTTGTATCTGTTTTCCCAAAGGTGAATTGAGGAAGATAGAGTTGACATAAGCCAGAGGGTCACAGTACTAGAGACCTTGGAGAGGACCCCCAATCCCGAGCCAAAGAGAATTTCACCCGAAGAGTTAAGGAGGTGGGAATGGGAAGAAGGGAACCCCCTGATTCCCGCTGAGCCCCTGTTCTGCCACTGCCGTCAATACCTTCAGAAACATGGCTTACCACATGGGGCCCCCTTACCTCATCAAAGGCAAAACATCAGAGTTCCTCTTTTTCTGTTGTTAATTCTTGCCACCTTCCTCCTTATTTATGAGACTCTAAAGAGACTCTGAGCCTAACCAGTGCGCAATAAATAGTAATATACTGAATAAGTAATGATTGATCATTTTCATACATTGAGTCCAGAAGAGTGGGCTAATGGTTGGAGATGAGGATTCCACTGCTTTTCTAAGGGGAGCCAAAGGGGCAGGAGAAAGGGAATGGCAAGAATGGGAAAGGGAATGGCAGAGAGAAGTCAAGCCCCAGGACCCTTCTTGCACTTAAACAGAACAAAGAAATTTCTGATTTGGCTCCTTGAACAGAAGAGCAAACTAAAGTGATATAAATGAGATTGTTGAAAAGCACATTCCTTAGGAAGCACCAAAACTTTTAAAGCAAGAAGGAAGTAAAAAAAAAAAAAAAAAAAAAAGAGTCTCTAAAGTATTTTTAACCATCTGCTCCTCCCTCTTGGCTGAAACACATGTTTTACATGATGCCAATAAAGAAGCGTAGCATTGGTCAAGGTTTGGCCTCTGTCTGCTGACACCAACCAGGATTAGCCCACAATTATGTGGTTATTTTTGAGCAACATCTAATAAATAACTCTTTACCCATGGAGTGTCTTTGGAAAAGGCTTTCCATTCTCCCTCCATTGCTAAATATTCCCAATGTGCTTCCTGCCATGCCATAATTTCAAGAAACCACCATGCCAGTGTGCTCACAGTCAAAGAGGGGAAGAGAGGGAGGAATAAAAGACCACTACTTGTGCTCACAATCAAAGAAGAGGGGAAGAGAGGGAGGAATAAAAGACCACTACGCCTGAACCCAAACTTAGTTCCTATTTGTTCTTCCCCCGTTCTATATTGCAGCCTCCCACCACTAGCCCAAAGTACCATTTTGGTGAAACAATAGAGTACACACTTCCCTACAAGAATCAGAAAATAATACCTTCTAGCCAAGCTCTGGCTTAAGCAGGACACTTCTTTTTGGAAGCTGTCTCTGCCATTTCCAATGCCAAATGGGAATGGAACGTCCTTCTCCACATTCCAGTGGTACCCTCTGTACCCCTCTGTATACATTCCAGTGGCACCCTCTGTACCCCTCTGTTCTAGGCACCACCACCCTGTGTTTCAGCTGTTGGTCTCTTTTCTGCCCACTGGATTCTAAGCTCCTTGGAGGCAGAAACCCTATCTTCTTCACTTCAGAATCCCAAGGAACCAACACAGTCTCTGGCACAAAGCAGGTACTCAACAAATGTTTGAAAAATTAATGAATTCATCAATTACTTTATTCCTGAATGAATAAATCTGCAGGCTGCACAGTTCACAAAGAACTTCCACATTTACTGTCACATTTGATCCCAACAACACCTATAGGGTTCCCTCAAGGAGGTGTCACAATCATCCCCATTTACAGATAAGAATGCTGAGGCAGAAATAAATCAAGTGACTTGACAAATTTTATACCAGGAGAAAAGAAAGGATTTAATGAATGTTCCTATCTAAATGCTTTAAACTACCCTTTATTAGAATCACACATCTCAAAGAGGGCCCTGCTGCTTCAGACCAGAGGGTTGTTTGGAACATCGTAAATATTGAACTAAATTTTGGGGGTCCTTGATTCATAATAGACTCTCATCCTTGGTCCACACACATCCCTCGTTGATTTTATTTATTTGCTTGTTTATACATTTACTTCTTTTTAATTATGTAAATACTGGTGTAAACATACTCTATTATGGGTTAAGAGTTTATTAAATAACTGCTCTGGAAATAAAGGGAAACTCCAGGAAAGGAATATTCTTCCTGAAAACCAATTCAACATGCTTGGGTGATATCTGAGCACCCTCAGTATAATAATATCTCCATCAAAGAAGAAGTTGGATTTCAAGTATTAATACACCCAGTCTTTCAACAGGTGCTTTGCAAATGTAGGCAGCATTTACAGTGATATGTGTCCGGAATATAAAATGAGAATGTTAATAAGTGTGTGCTGGGGGCCAAGGAAAACATGATAATACAAAAGACATGAAATCATGGCATGTATGCTAAAAAAAAAAAAACAAACAAAAACCGCCTCTCCTTTCCTGCACCCTGCCATTCTCTTTTATTAAGAGAAAGAGATAATGGATTATCCCCTCTGTTCAAACTCAACTAAAAATGCTAAACAAGGTTCATTGAGACGGGCTGTCAGAATTTCAGAGCAGCCCTCTCGTGCCTGGATGCTGCCCCTCCTTTATATCGCTTCAAAAAGAGACCGCAGCTTTCAGTCTACAGCTAGCAATAGTTCTTGAACCAAGAACTTGACTGATTGAAGACTCTTAACAAATGTGTTCTAATTGAGTAAAGAATTTCAGACTGCAATCTCTGAATTAAGTTAATAGTTTTTTGTGGGTATATTTTGGTTAAAATGTTTACATGAGCTAATAAACTCAACCTACTGATGCAAGACCCATCCACGTTTGGGCTGGGGGCGGGGCGGGGAAGTATAAACAACAGGAAGGCATAAAAAGCCTGGAATATGAAAGTGAAGTCATCCTCTGTCAAAAGAAAAATAAAACACCCCCAAAAAAGTCAGCCTGAGCAGAGGAAATCAAACTTAGACTCCATGATGTTGCTCTAAGGGTAAGCTCTATACATCGTCAACTTGGCAGACCAATAAAGCACATGCACAAGGCACTTTTTACCTCACAGCTGCAAAAGCCAGGCAATAGTGCTTCAAATGATGCACAAAGTTTTTAGTTTAGTCTTGAACACATCCGATTTCGTATAAAGGAGCTATGCTCAGAGGAGTTTAGAAAGGAGCTATGGCTTAGATATTTGAAAATTGGTCAGTGAGCAATATTGAACATTATGAAGCAAGTCTTGCTTGTCGCAACAGGAATCCTGAGAAGGAGAGAAGCATAAAGTGCAACTGCAGTTATGTTTAGATGAAAAAGCCGACACCTACGCTCCAGTCCAGAGTCGCTCTGGGCTCCTTTGCTGGACCGTTTGCCACGGGAAGGCTGAGGGGGTGTGCAGGAGCCAGATGCTGGAGGCCCGCCCGGGAGATTGCTTTCCTGCAGAAGGAAGACAAAAACACAAAGAAAAACCAACATCAGAATCTCATACAGAGCTCAAAATTTCCCATGGGGTAGAAACGATACCCAAGTTAGCCTTCTACCTCTGAAAACCTTTACAAATGTATTGGAATATGCCTCCCTAAAGTGCAGGCTATGGATAGAAGGTGACAGGTGCCAAAAGACAGGGAAGTTGAGGGGGCCACTGTGGCATATTGCATTAGAGCCTGAAATTAAAATGTAAGCCCCTATTCAGGGTAAAGGACAGAACTTAAGGTCTTGTCTCTTTATTTATGGAAAAGGCCTGGGGTTTGGGCAATCACAATACTTGGACAATTTTAAAGTTGCCAGAGGCTAAAAGCAAGAAAAGCAAGCTTCTGAGGTCTTTTACTGAAATTCCTCCAATTCCCAGCAAGGCACATTCCAAGCTGGTTACAGCTGACAGTTCACTCTTACTTCTCTCTCCTCTCAAAAACATCCTCCTTCATCCTTGCAAAGGACTACTTGAGCTTGAGGTTCTACACCGGAAAGGACTGATTTGCATCTGCCAAGAAATTGCAGGGTCCACAGTAAGACAAAGCCCAAACACACTCATTAGATTTTAGGTGTATTGGGTGGAACATGACAGAATTCAGGTCAGAAAGGAGGGAATGAACAAGGAGAGGTCGAGATAGTTAGCCTTGACCTTGGTCTGCAAAGACAAGAAATAAGAGGCGCTGCTTCGGCAAAGCAAACATGACCGTTACTGAGCACAGGGGAGGGAGGAGTGGTCAGAGCAGAGTAGAGAGAGTAAGAACAGTAAGAAAAAGGAAGAAAGCAGGGATCACCTAGGGAGAACTGTTGTACCAACGGGAATCAAGGAAGTTCAATTTCTGAACAACCCCATCAAAAATTTCAGACAAGGGTCTCGAGCTTAAACATGAGTGCTGACTTGTGAATTAATGAAGTGGCTGCCTGGAAGTGACAGGGGCTTTCTCTCTAACACAGTATCTAAGTGCCGTCTGAGAAGTACCTGAATTAGAATTAGAAGGATCTTGTGGTGCTGCCGCTATAAGTCCTGAATCAGTTGGGGGGTGAGGCACAGGAATCTGCATTTACACATGTTCCCATGATGTTCCCTTCTGTGCCCTAACATTTTCAAAGTTTGCTCTATGGGAGCAAGTATGATATATTAGGGCAAGTGGGGGAACAATAACTTTTGAAGGCTCATCAAAGGGGTACTCTAAAGAAAAACATCAGCAATTTCATTATTTATCATCAGTTGTCTTTTTACAGCCTGCCTCATATGACATGAATATTTCAGTAAGAATCTGCCATTTCTGAGACTGGGGCTGCAGACACACTGGGTCCCCAGAGAGGCCCAGATCCTCAGACTCCTCCACCTGCTGATTACAGAGAAGAACAAGGCTCCAGACAGTGGGATGGGGAAAGGAAAGCAGTGACCAGCAGAATGCCATCATGACTGAGCCGCTGAAGGAACTTGCCCCATACAAAGGGAAGAGTAGGAGAATTTAAGAGCTCTGTTGAACCCTAAAAGTCGGGTGATCTCTCTTTCCTGCTCATTGTCCTCTGCAAACTCCATCCAGAAATGGAATTTGCAAAGTTGAGCAAGAGGAACAGTAGTTCCCAAACCCAAGGAAAGGCTGAGCAGAAGAAGCCAGTAAAGAATCCAGGATTGTGCAACCACTAATCAGTTACCAAGTATGTCAGAGAGCTCAGCAAGTGTCTAGGCCTCTCTTTTTCTTTTTTAGTCTCTTGTATTCCTACGCAGGAGGTCCCAGAAATAGCGGATCGGCCTTCAGTAGTTGGAAGTGATCACACCAAGCTTGCTGGCAGCCTACTTTCAGAAGCTCCCACTGGGCAGCAGACAATGTGCTTGCTTTATATAATCCTCTGAAGAGTTATTACAAGTCCAGAGACCTTTAATGATGACACAATATTCTCTTTCCTCACTTTCACCAAGGCAAATAATTAACAACATCAATTTTGGCCCTTCACCCCAAAGCATATTCCAAGTCATTAAGCAATAAGAAAGGAACAGTGGAATATTTGCATATGGGGATCCTTCCTCCCCAGCTATTTCCCTCCTCCCATGTTGAAGGCACCTCTTTAGCATGTTTCACTCTGAGCCACAGTTTTCATCACAAGAAAATCAGATCTCGGTGGAGTCAGAATCTACAGGTCCCACTTCTGATTCCGTGACAGTCACCGCAACCTAAACGCAAGTGTCCTCACAAACAATACCAAATGGTGCCAAAGCACAAACCCTTAGAACAGCTGAAGAATTCCTAAATCTTGGGTTAATGACAAAAATATTAATCCTTTTCATGAACAGTCCCAGACAGTTGTGATTTGGGAAAAATAAATTTTTTAAAGGGAGGAAATAAAATTCTACTGTCAGGCACCCATAGAAACCACAGGACAAATGAGTTTCACTCATCAGAACTTGCAGACTCCGACCACCAAAACCCGATTACTCTTCCCAATTCAGACTGCCAGAAGGGGCAAATAGCTCGCATCATCAAATTAGGATGCGAGAGATCTATGTGTCTATGGAAGAACAAGGTGCACAGAAGATAAGACACATACAAATACTTAACCCTGACTGAAACTATAGTCAAATTACACTCTTTTCTAGCCTGGGAATACAAACTATTAGGTAAAGCCTTTTGCTGATCATTTATTCCTCATTGTAGATGCAATTTAAGGTTGGTTTTATGTAATATTAATAGAGGAAAACCGTATATCTACTACACATAGGAACATCAATTAGGATAAAAAATAAGTAAGAAACATAAAGGGGCCTGCCAGTTTGTAACTGTATATGGGTCTAATAAAAAAGACATAGGAATAGGGAAAAATATGTTTAGGGTTGCAGGGGGTAGGAAGTAACTTTTGATTATAGCTTTCCATTCTTCTAAACAACCATGGAGAGAATTCCTTTTTCCAATAATTCATACAAGTATACACATTTTCTTCCAAAATAAGAAAATAACTTCATTGTATCTCAGACCTCAAATAAAGTTAGTATAAGTTATTTTTCCATTTGAATTGATCTTGGTGGTGGAAGAGGACATTTAAAAGTCTGGTAGAACTTGGTGTGTCGTTGGAGGGAGAATGAGGGGCAGCGGTTTTACGCTGCAATTTGCTCTGAAGAAGAAAAAAATCAATGAGGTTTCAACTTCTCATTCTTTCCTCCTGCTCAGAATCTTCCTAAACCCACAGTCAGCAGAACTGCGAAATGCCAATGATTCTTTCTATTAATTTCACAGCAACACTTCATAGGAGATCACTGTAATCACAAAAGCATCTTTGAAAAGAACTGTGATATTAACTGTGAAATAGATATGAAAAGAAAATATCCTATAATGCGGTTTCAATAGCACAAAGTCACAGTTAATGTCAATTACCTGACATGAAAGACCTCTAACGTATTTAAAATATAAAAGGCATCATACATTTTAAATAGCATTCTATTATTTCCTTCACTTCATTCAATAAGACTATAAACTCCTAAAGGACAGGGCTCAATTCATCTACTAATCTTATTACACTCTAGCCCTGGGGTACACACAGCATACATGCAATAAATGCTTTCTGAGTTAATGAATGAACTTGACCAAAAAGCTAAGCAAAACAGCTTGCTGATTAGATAAAGGGTTGAGAAACCTGATTAGTATGATTTGAATTATATCCCAGGCCTTAAATTTCACTGATAGTCTTTCCTGAAAGAGTCAGAAATCCTTCAAAGCAGCTCTTTAAAAATAAATGCAAATGAGGTAGAATCCGGTATTAAGAAGCCTAAGAAACATCAAAACGGCTTTGTGTGATCAACAGTAAAACGAAATCCTACCGCTACATTTGTAAAGGGCGTATGATAGTGTTAATATTTTTACAATGTGTTTATTGAGAGAAACGTGTAACATACACTCTTCACAAACAGAATTTTTTTAAATTTATGGGAAAACATGCAAATAAATGGTTATTTACCCAGGATACCCTTTAGTTATCCATTTTGTAAATTTCTCTCAATTCGCTCTGGCCCCATTCTGACTCTGGGTCTATGTGGCTCCCATTTCTCTCCATTCCCATCTCGCCCACTCCCTGTCTGAGTGATTCCACACATGACAAGAGAATGAGGATCCCTCTTGCAGTGTGAGAAAGTGCTGGAGAATCAGGAGGTCCCTTAGCCAAGATATGTCCTAAGGATGGACACATTAGAGACTGGTGAACTCATCCCACTGTAGAAGAGGAATCAGCTGTCTAAAAAGTTACTCACTACCTTAGTTTAATTCCCCAAGTACCTTGAGAGAGATCTTAATTACGTGTGTGTGTTGGTGTGTTTTCCCCATAGCATAAGGGTACTAACTCTGCTTATACTCAAAGCAGCCCCAAATGCTCTTTGGTTGACCTGGACAAGCTGCCTACAAGGCTGAGGATAGTCCACACAATAAAATCAGTCCCAAGCTCTGCACAAATTCCAAATATTCCACCAGAACATTTACACAGGGGAACAAACTGTGTGTCATTACTTGAGATTAAGTCCTACTCTATATTACATAGGAACTCGAAGTATTTTTTGACAATCTTAAGGTACATTAAAATTTTCAGGAAGGTAATTACTATTGAAACAAAGGTTGTGTTTAGTTTCCTACCAGGCGTAAGTCATTCAGAAAATCACTTTTGGTTTTGAATCTTCAATACAATATATCAGTATTATTCTATATTTGTTACTTCCACAGTGCTTCTCCAACAGCAGTACTGAACTTTTGCGCACAGTGGAACTTGGGAATCAGTCCACTTAGATGCCCCCCAGGTATTTCTAATGTGATCCTGGGCCGTGAACCGCTGTTCCACATAGATGTGCAAACGTATGACTACCTCATTATGTGTGTTAATGTAACCAAGCTCAGGCATTTACATACTGAAATATATTCATGCAGTCAACAATGTGTTTACTGAATGTCCATTTTATGCCAACCACTGTTCTAAATGGGTAG